GTGAACTTTATATTGTAATGATCTTTTTTACAAATTAAGTAAAAGAAACCATATCTTCAGAAAAGATATCAAATTCAACATTTGAATTTTACAAAAAAATATCAACACTGAATAACTGATAATTGGAGCAAAGTTATCTGGTCTTACAAATCAAAATTTATAATTTTTAATTCAGATAGACATGAATACTACTAGAAATATAATAATAAATCACTAAAAGAGCACTGTGTGAAATCTACAATAAAATTTGAAGTAAAAATATAATAATTTGGAGTTGCTTTTCATTTTTTGGTATTGGTAATATCATGCACATTTATCATATGGATAAGAAATTGTACTTGTACCATGAAAACTTAAATGATAATCTTTTAGAAACAATCAGGTGATATGATATTAATAAGGATGATATTGTCTTTCAACAAGATAATGATCCAAAGCACATGGCAAACTCTACATATGAATGGTTTGATAATAATGAAATTTGAATATGTACTTGATTGGCCTCTCCAATCACCTGATCTTAATCCAATTGAGCATCTCTGGAACAAAATAGATCGGCGTTAGAGATCATCCATTGCCATTCATACTCAAGATCAACTCTGGAATGCGATACAAAAAGCCTGAATCGAAAGTATGGAGGAACGTATCCAAGATGTATCAATGCAAAGGGTGGATACACTAGATGGTAAGAATATTTAGTTAAAATTTGATGGATTTTTATTCGCTAGTTAGTTAGAAATTTCAATTTGAATTTTTGTAATCAAAACAGTAAAAAAAAACGGATCATTTAATTTGATGTAAAAACGGATTATTTTTATTTTTTAAGTTACGGATGAAAAATAAAGTAAATATAATAATTCTTTTATATTTGGTGACTAAAATAAGCCTAGTTATATATTGTTTAACGTTGTGTTGGAAAAGTTATTGCGTCGCAAAATTTATCTTTTAAGTGATGCATTACTTTTGAGCGCCACTGTACACAAAAGGAGTGGATTTAGAAAGAACATAAAGTTAAGTTATTGTGCTTTAACAACACAATTAATATCGATTCCATAATTACCGAACTCTATTGTTTTTGGACTAAATACAGAATATTTATTTGAAATATGTTCATAACGATAACGATAACGATTTTAAAAGAGATCTATTCGAAATATTTTATTAATTTATGCATTCTTTTATTGAACTGTCAAGATCTTTATTTTCGCTGGATGATTCAGCTTTATACGTAATTTCGTTTGAGCTAATCAAGGTAGTATCCATTTTCTTATTACGTAATCAATACATTTACTCGAGTTATGAGTATTTGAGTCTTAAAATTTATGATATTTTTGAATTCTTTAGTTTCATCTTATAGTGATTATGTACTGTGTTTTAAAATAGAATCGCCATTACTACATGTATATGCATCTGTAAAACTTTTCACTTATGTATGCAAAATTGTCGTCGTTTAATTATGGAATCAATATTAAATGTGTTTTGAGTTAAAGCATAACTAACAAAACTTCTTTGTGTTCACATATATATTTATTACGATTTTATTTTGTAGGGCTATGTCTGAAAGGCCTGTGCTATGCACAGCTGATTCTATACTCTTTGATCGATCTCGCCTCTTACTCGTGTCCATTTTTTAACGGAATTACTTGACTGCAACCTATTCAACTTTGGATATACATAGACTGATCCTGAATAATTATTTTTGATTTAAAAAAGTATTTTCATAGTATACATCAGACAATTATATTCTAGAAGTTATCTCATATTAACTATTCTATACTAACCATGACAAAGTTATTACAATATTTACCAATCGTTACAAATTGATCCCTCAAGATAGTTTATTTCAGCTTAGTAATTATATTGAAGAGTTGGTCAAAAATCTAAGGATCACAAGACAAGAGATCAGGCCAGAAGACTCTTTAATCTTAAAATGCAACTGAATATCGAAAATGACAAGGACATTTACTTCCTGATGAACTTCGCGACATTATTATCGAATTTATAATACACATGAGTCGAAAATTAGACTTGATAAGTACGAAACAGAACTCATAAATCGACTTTGGAAAGAAAGATGTGAAATTATTACATTTTAACAGTTTAAATGGGAAAACGAGTCTAGTCCTCGAACAAAAAAAATACTGAGTTTTCAAGACATTTTATCGTAAATTTATCATCGATACACCTGAAATTGTGATTGCTTCAAATCGAATAGTGACACAGTTGGGCGGGGTTGGAAATTATATAGGATTACATGTGATCGGTGAGGAAGTAACCTCTTCAAAAACAGAGACGTCAGGTTTTTCCCACTCCTCCTTTAACGCGATTTTAAGTTCGTCCTCGGACGAAAGAATTCATATTTTTGAATATTATCCTTCAACACCTTCCAAATATTCTCAATTGGGTTTAGGTCTGGTGAATTCGCTGGCCAATTGATAGTCACGATTTTATTTTCCGCGAATAATTTTTTGATTTATCCCGCCTTATAGATCGGCGTGTTATCTTGCTGGAACCTTACACGGTTCCCAGCTAATACCAAATGGTAACAAATTAGCTTTATGATTCTGAGATAAACATCCGAATTTATTTTCACCCGTCATTTTTGTATTCATCACAAAATACCAGTGGTCCTTTGTGTCTTCCCGCAAAACACCACAAGCCATTACAGATTTTCGTCCGCTTTTATAAGTAGGCACCAAGCAATTAGGATTAAAACTTTCTCCAGTGTGTCGCCAAACTCTTGATTGTCGTGATAGCTTCCCAATTTCCACACTCGTCTCATCAGAGAAGTTTATATTTACCCAATCATAAGCTGATTTTCCTCACACCACCTAAAACGAATATAAGCATGCATGTGTATCCGAAATGTAGGGTTTCTTTGTTGCGACACGAGAATAAAGTCCGGCATCGTGTAATACATTTGCGGCAGTTGACAGACTACAGTTAAGACCTAAATTGTTGAAAATTTCGCGGAGTGGTATATGTCGTTTTTCATTAACTTTAAATACGAGTAATTTTTTTCATGGTTATTAAGGACTGGTGGTCTTCCGGAACGAGGTAAGTTTTCACTTTTTACCGTCCTTTTGTACTTAGCAATAAAGCGCCATATTGTTGTGGGATCACGTCTATGCATTTTTGTGATTTGGGTGGCATTTTCGGTTTCCATGTATGTCAGAATCTTCCCCTTGTTCAATTTCGTTTATCTGTGTACTGAGTAGACGTCATTTTTTATATAACAATGTTATTATAATATTGACGAGTTGTAAAAAGTATCAAACCGGGGAGAAAACTTTATATATGTTGCGCCCCACTTAGTCGCATCAAATACTTTTACCATTTTTAACAAAAATTTCGCAATTTATAATTTTTATGATATCACAAATTATGGTGTATCATAATTTTGTCCAATGATGTTCAAATTTAATATTTATTTGACATTGCACAATTACGATTAATACAAAAAATTCATGAATATCACTTCCTTTTTAATTGATAATTAAATACATGTGATCAATGAATTACGTACATTTTTGCATACTTATTTATTTTCACTTTTTTCTCACCCTTAATTTTCTTTTATATTTTTCTTTCTCAAATTAATCTTTTTGCTATTGGTACATTCTATATTTATCTCCAACAAGAATCTTCTTAATTCAAATTTCATTATCTTAAACCAATTATATTTTATTTTTCATTTTATTTTTATTTTTATTACTATCTCTATCTTTATTTTTAATATTGTATTTCCTTATGATTTATCTCATGTTATTCAACATTTCTTTAGTCTTTTTTTTACTGTGATTTTATGATTTTTCTTATCTCTAGTCACTAAAATTTATATTAAATTTCTCTTGTATTTTATTTTTTATCATCTTGTATAATTTTTTATTTATTTTTTGGTCTTTGTTCTCCTTTAGTATTATCTGTAAATAGTGATATAGTTTAGAATGATTATTAATTTACACGAATAAATACATTATTAGGAAAGCTTTCTTGAAGTATTTTTTTTTAGTTTAAAAAATACAAACTGGAGGTAATTTTGTTCCATCGGCCATGCATCCAAGAACCACAGTGAAATTCTTTCTTTCATTACCCGTAGTTCGAAGGCTAATTGTGTGGGTGCCACGTTTGTCGATTGTTGTCGGATTTGGTAAATCAAAAGCAAGATGAGCCTCGTCCATATTTCCAATTGAAGATGAAGGGTAATTATATTGAATACATTGATTTAAAAGAAAAGTAAGAAAACTTTGTTTTTTTCTTGACGTCGGTTTGACAAATTATATCGATCCAAAAAACCATCAAGCTATCTATTCGAAAATTTAAAATTTTGTATATCCGATAGATTTCGAGCAAGTGAAAATGTCTTCGTAATCACCAATGTTCTAATAACAAGTTTTTGTAATTGCCGTTGTTTATCAATCCATTCAATAAGACTTATTCTAATTGTGGATATTTTGGTAATTTTTCTTTATGTAATTTAAAAGTATTTGGTGATGTTTTATTTATCCATTCCCGTAATTGCTTGGGTTGGATCTTAAATTTTTTACTTGTTTCACGAATAAAAGTTTAATTTGTATTTTTTTATTATACATAATTTTTCTTGGCACACCAGGTACTTCGTAATTTTTTTGTTCTATGTGCTTTTAAAGCACTTCTATTACTGATTATGACCATTTCAAATTAATATCTTCATCGAAAAATGTCAATAACAATAAATTTTCTTGCGAATATAATTATACGTAGAGATTATTTAATACTTTGCAAAACAATAACGATAAAACCAGAACATAATGATAAGAATTTTTAAATATATCGCATACATAATAAGACTTTTAAATACGGCACAAAGAGTTGTTAAGAATATAATTAAATTATTCAGTTATTTTGTTTAATTAGAAAAGATTCATTATTTGTAAAAGTTACATGAATTTCTTGATTCAAATGTTGTGACGATATTGTTATTTCTAATGCTAATTCATAGATGAGAGTTTCTTTACAAAATGCACACGGGTTATTTAGATTGGAAAATGCCGAAAAACACATCACTAGAAAGAAAGAGTCTGTATGATCAATATGTCAAACCATGCGACAGATTGAACAATGTGCAAATAAAGTGGAGCAAATTGCAAAAATAACTAATAAATCGATTACAATTGTTAGCGACAATGATGATGATGATAACGATAATGAAATTATCTAAAAAAAGAAAAACAAAAGTGATGACCTTCAGAAACAAATGAGACACTTAAAAAGAGAAGAAAAAGAGAGAAACAAACGAATTGCACATCTTCAAGCAGAAATTGTTGAGTTAGAGAGTATTATTAACGAGCCACCGCTAGAAGTCAATATGAGCAGTATTCAACGACAATTGGCGGAGTTTTTTTTTACTTTGATAAGATAATTTGAAATGAATGACAATTGTTAAAATAGCACATTCATAATAAAAAAACAAGTAGAATAATGTCGATGAAGAATATGTTGATGTAAGAAATAACTTTCTTCTTCAACGCGAGAATTTTGTCAAAGATTAAGAAAAATTCTTTTATATCTTTATTATTAATCATTAGTTTGGAGGTGGTTATATGAAATTGTTAATTTTATTATAATTTTTAATAAGCAATTTAATTTAAACTATTATAAACTGTAGGGTTAATTAATAGTTCTTAATAAAATTATAATCTCAAAATTTAGTAAATTTCTCAAATTGTATGGTTCAAACTGATGGTTCAAACCAGTGGTTTAAGTAAAATTACTAATTTTCTATCAAAATAATTATATTTTTATTATAAGTACGTAACTAATTTTTACACTTTACGCTAATTAATTTTGATTAAGAGATCAAAAAGAAATAATTAAGTCAATTATTAGTAATTTAATCAGGTAAGTAAACTGATAACATCCCTATTAATCATGCTATTCTACTGATATTTTTAGACTCAGACAAATAAAATAAATAATAATTTAATGTAATAAAAATATAAAACTAAAGTAATTGCTATTTTCTTCCAATAGAGCGCAGTATTTTTCTTTTGAAATTGCCTTATTTTATTGGAGTTTTTTCATCATGAATCTGTAGTTTTTCTTGCAAGGTACTCGACATCTCTTCGTTCTCTTTGATTTCGTGTGGTATACTCAAATCGAAATCGCTTGGCAAAAACAAACTGACACTTATCAACCCTAAACATTTGATATACTGTAAGTTTTAATTAACGTGAAACGATAATATCGATATTATTTATATATTTAGAAACAAAAGTACCTGTCTCAGTTCGAATTGAAATTAATTTTGAAGTAAAGATTCGACTGGTGTAAACTGCGTTTGAGTGGATTTCTGGGTTTTTATTCGTTTTCGTAGGAACACTTTTCACCTTCTCGTCAAGTCCTTTCCATTTTTGCTTTTCTAGTTCAAGACACTCTTTAATTTCTTCATGTGTTTTAGGAGATTCTAAAGAGTTGAAGTACCGGAAATGCAAATTATTCAACTCTGTCAGAGATTTATATTTGATGGATCTGAAAAAGTCGAAAAGTTCCTTGGCAGATGGTCTGTTTTCTGGAATAGGATCCCAACATTTTTCAATAATAAACTTGAATAATTTAGGAACATTATTTGATATCGTAGGTCGTACCCCTTCGTAGATATTACGAGCGAGAAATACGTCATGACTTCGTTCACCGAATGGTCGTTCACCTGTGACAACTTCGTACGTAATCATCCCGAAACTATAAATATCTGCAGCTTCAGTGTATGGATTTCCAGTTAGCACCTCTGGACTCATATAAGGAAGTACTCCGCAAATTTCTTGATTAGATTTATTTGTGTCGGCTGATCCAGTAAATCCAAAGTCGGCAATATGAGCATTAGTATGCAATAATATATTTCCAGGGTGAAAATCACAATGCATAAAGCCTTTTTTGTGAATTGCATTCAGCTCTGAGATAATATTATTTAAATATTTTGATTTTGCTTCCCAAATCAATGTTTCGTAGTTGGATTTAATATATTTGCGCAGATCGCCACCACTTGCATAATCCATTACTATCGAGTATTCATTTATATCGAGGTTTTTAGTTAACCCATAATATTTAAGATCAGCATTTGTGCACTTAAGAGCAGTTTGAATCTATTTGAAAAACTTGTTTGTATTAGAAAACAAAAAGAGCATAATACCTATACTGTACATTTTTACCTCTTTTATAAATTCCGCTGTAATTTGCTTTGAATTTTGAAATGATTTCAATACAACTTTGCGTTCTCCACGCCGCTTGAATCTATCTTTTTCATGATCCCACTTGAAGAATGGACCGTCGAACCAGGTTGCTTTATAAATTGAGCCGAAACCTCCTCTTGCAAGATGTTCAACATCGGTAAATCTTTCGAATGGGATCCATTCGAAATGGTTATTTATTTCCGCGCATTGATTTATTAAACTGTCGATATCTTTATTTTCGCTAGACAATTCGATTCGTTTGTGGTAATCAATACATGGATGGCAGTCATTCGATTTTCGACAATCAGCACATACACTACAATCATGAGTATTCATTATTACCGAGTATTCATTTGTAGCTGGATGTTTAGTTATTCCATAATAAATAATAAGGCTATCATTGTATCTTAGAGCAGTCAGAATCTAATTTTGAAAAGTGAATTAGATTGAAAAACAAAAAAGCAATATGTTTACACTTAAAGGTGTTCATTTTACCTCGTTTATAAACTCGGATGTAATTTGCAATGACTTCAACACAACTTTGCGTTCTCCATGTCGCTTGAATTTCTTTTCTTTATGATCCCATCCAAAAGAGAAATCCAATGGTCCGTCCAACCAGGTTGCTTTATAAATTGACCCAAACTCTCCTTTTGCAAGATATTCAACATTGGTAAATCTTTCAAAAGGGATCCATTCGAATGAATAATAATTATCACTTTCACCAGCAATTCTGTTGCAGTCATTTATTAGGCTGTCGATATTTTTATCTCCATTAGACCATTCAACAACATAAATTCGTTTGTGATATTCATTACATCCAAAACAGTCCCAATTTTCTTGACAATCGGTACATTTACTACAATCATGAATCTTGTGAACTGAACACTTATCGCAGTAGTCATTGTCTCGACACCAATGACATTTACTACAATCATGAGTTTTAGATGCCATCTTTGAGATTATGGCATTGTTTTTATTTAAAAAATGATGATTTATATGTGGCATGGAATTCGTCGTTCACTTGTGTTGAAAATGATACGGGAACACGACGTACCGGTACGCCCATAACATAAAGAGTAAAAACGTGAATACGTAATTTATACATGTACGATCGTCATCAATTATCCTCCCCAATATGGATTCAATACATGTATCACGTCGATTCCTTACGGCAAAACTAACACATTAAATTTTCAGAGAGCAGACTTGAACTTGCTCACAGTTTTTGAAAAGCTTTTACACTTTAGAATAAATACTATTCTACAATGTACGTTAACGTTAATTGGTTCATAATCATTAATATCGATATTACCTATTTCGTGATCTTTTTTAGGGTTAGGGTTAAGCTGAAACGCCATGTTTTTTCAAATGAAAAAAGATTTTTTGTTGACAATGGGTTAGCATTACCATTACATAACGATAATATTGAATCTCTAATTGGTTCGCTGCAAGTTACACTAAAGAATTCCTTGTCGTGAATCATCATACATTTAGTAACACAATTCAACATTCGAGTAATTTTTATTTTTTGATTTAATTTAAATTTTTTATTTTTATTTTTTTTAATAATAAAAAAAGAATAAATGTATTTGTTACAACTTTTATTATAACAACTGCATTTAATTGGTTAATGATATGTGATTGGTTAATATTGAAGTTGTTACAATTAAATTGATCCTAAAAAAATATATAACATATAAAATTCTATTATATGACCAAATTTGGTGAGATTTTGGGTCCAAATAATTATTTTATGAGCTTCTAAAGGTCATTTATGAACTTTGAATAAGAAATTGGCCATAATACTAGGTTTTAATGTAACAAATGCTATTAATAAAAAAGATATAATCTAAATGTTCTCAAAATTTCAAAATATATTGAGCGTTGGTTCAAAATTATCGTGTAAACATATTTAGACTTGGATATATGATATGCGGTTGCAAAATTTCGTTGGAGAGTCCCAGCCGGGGCCAACCACAAAATAAAGACATCTGTTTTTGGTTTGATAGTGATTGTACAGAATTCAGCCAATCATTGAATGTGTTACAGATATAGGTCATGTGTATTAAGTCAATCCAGGTAATTATGATTATCCGAGTTGACTTAAGCCTTAATTCACTACACGGCTTTAACGGTCCCCCAAAAATGGTCATCATCGTCCGGCATCAACTAGTATTCTATTGGTCAGAAGGTTTCGTCATAGGTTTCGTCAGGTTTTGTCATTCGTCACAGACATTTTCAAGATGGTCGTGACGAAAGGTTTCGTCATCGTCAAGTATCATTAGTTACGACTAAAGGTTCAAGCTTTGTTGACATATCATTCAATTGTTCAATTTCCTAACGTTTTTCCTTTTTTCATGATTTATTTCTTAGTGAGAAAAACCGGTGAATATTGATGCTTTTTGTCTTGTTTTACGAATGAAGTATTCGGAGTTCAGAAACCGCGTATAAGGCATGAAACTTGTATGATATTTATCAAAGTATCCTATATGATGCGAGCGTTATCGAATGGCATAGTTTAGTATTTTCAATTATATCACTAGATAACCACTTGAAATTTACTTTAAACTTTTACAATATTGAATGCGAGCGTTATTAAATTTGCGTTAAAATCCAAATGATCATTTTCTCATGAAAATATGGTACTGTCATATAAATTGATCCCCTTTCTTGTTTCGTGATGACAAACTTTAATATAAAACCCTTTCTGCGTTCTTAGTTTCTTTTATTTTTAATGGCAATAATTGTTTTTGCAAACGAAGACGGATAGCTTAAAGTACTGTATTCGATTGAATTTTCTATCACAGGTAGAAAAGGGTTGGTACATTAGTGGTTTTTTGGAGGATGTCCGGGTTAATATGATTACTCTTAAATTCAATGAATTATTAGAAATTTACTAGTCGAACTTCCGGTCTTCGGTCCGAAATTTGTGAACCAGTTCTAACAGTTTATCATATTCATTGACCATCTTCAGAATAACTTATTGCATGGGTAATTAATTGTTGGTCATTTGACCTTTTTTGGATTTTAAACAAAAAAATTGATCGACTAGGACGAGAGCTACAAAAAATCGGGGTTCAATAAATTTATATTGGTCAAAATGGCAGAATTCTCGAAACAAAGAGAACTCTAATATTACTCGGCAATATCGAGCGATGATTGTGACTCAAATTTTGCAATCTTGATTTAATCGAGAAGATATTTGTGTAAAAAAATTAATCGATTCACATGTAGTAAATATGCGACCGTGATATTTGTGTAGGTAACTACCCCTCCAAATTTTTGTCAATCACATGATTTTTTACCTCGGTGAGTGGATTGATCATAGTATCCTAGGGCGATTTGTGTTAAAAAAAGGCTCTAGAGGATTTCCATTAATCAATTATTTATTAAGCTGGTTTTATTGTTCAATGACATAAAAAGTACAGTAATATCGACAGACACAGTTAATGACTTCTATTTGCGTGTGCGTGTAAGTAATAAAAGGCTCTTCTTTTAACACAACGACAAACAAATCGATTTAGATCATTCCAATAAATCATCTTACAGAAGAGAACCATTTATTATTTAACTTCCATTTGTGTATGTATCAAACAAAGTTTTTTATGATTCCAAAAATTTTATAACTAAATCTGTGGTTTTCTAGAACAAAAAAAACTATATTTTTGTCTGATAATTTTTTTCTCGGTGAGTCAACTAAGGAAGAAGAACATGAGACTGAAGCGAATAAAAAAGAGATATTGAAAAGTAAAAAAATAAAAAAAATAGGCAAATTAATTATCACTTTTATCTGCCACTATAATTTATAAATATATTTTTTCGATTAACTGCCAATATATTTTTTAATTATTCTATATCAAAATTGATATAATTATTCATTTTTATACATACATATTCCTATAATAATTATCAGAAAGACAAAAAATAATATATTAAAATTAAAAATTTGTCTTAAATAAAAATTTTTATTTTTATATTAAAATAAAGATTACAATTATATTTTAATCTATATTTTTTCTGGATCTTTTAGCTTTTTTTCTGACAAAGTTATTTTAATTGCTAATTATTGCAAAAATTTTTTATAATTAATTTTATATTATAATTATAAAAAATTTTGTAATAACTTTGCAATTTGTCAAAAAATCTAAAAAATCCAGAACAAATATATATTAAATTATAACTTATAATTTTGTTTTAATAAAAAATATTTTTTAATAAAATTGAAAATTTTTATATAAGACAAAATTTAAATTTTTTACTATATTTTATTAACAAACTTATATTTGTAATTCTATAATTTATTGATCACTATATATTTTTTTCAAATTTTTTATATTTAATTTGAAAAAGCTTTTTTAATTATAAAATAAATTAACTAATTATTTATAATTAAATATATAAAAAATTAATTAATTTATTTACTTTTGTAATTAAATAACTTTTGAATTATTATTTATATTTTTATAATAAAATTGAAAACTTTAATTTTATTAATAAATTTTAAAAATAATCTATTAATTTTGTAATTACATTAGCTTATAAAGTAATATATTACTTTTAAAATTTTACTAATTAAAATTCTTTATTTTTATACAAAAATATAAATAAAAATTCTTATTTTTGAATTTTTATTTATTATAAAAGTATATATAAAAAATTTTTTGTTTAAAATTATAAAATTCAAATTATATTAAAATTAATTTTAATAATAAAATAGTAATAAAAATTGATAAAATTTGTTTTTTTAATAACAAAATTATAAAATTATATATTTGTATTTATTAATAAACTATAATAAAAATAAAAATTTTATTTTATATATAAGTTTTAATTTTATTTATAAATATTTTTTATTTTTATATTAAATTAAAAATTATAATTTATATTTTATATTTTATATTTTAATTATTAAATTTATATTATGATAATATTATATTTTTTGATAATTTTTTATAATAAAAATATATAAAAAATTATTAATTTAATATACAATTAAACAACTTTGTCAAATTAAATCTAAAAATCTGAAAAAAAATATATATTAAAATATATAATATTATTTTTATTTAATATAAAACAAAAAATATTTATTAATAAAATTCAAAACTTATATATATAAAAAGAAAAATTTATATTTTTTATATTTTTACTATATTTATTAATTTTTTTTATTATATTAATTTCAATATTACTATCTAATAGTTTTCAAAATTATAAAATTATATATATAAAAAGAAAAATTTATATATAAATATTTTGAATTTTATTAATAAATATTTTTTATTTTATATCAAAATAAAGATTATATTATAGTTAATATATATTTTCTGGATTTTTTAGATTTTTTCTAACAAAATTATTAGATTATTTTATAAAAATTACTATTATTGAATATATTAATCTAGATAAATTTAATAATAGTGTATTTGAAAATAATGCATTTATTTAAATTTTGTGCAAAACAATTTAAAAAATTTATTCAGTAACTTTGAAATATAATATTTCATGATCTACAATTCAATTAAATGAAAATATTATCATCTATTAAGACTAAATGAATTAGATAGTGTATTTTTATTTGAATTTAAATTTAAATTGTGTCTCTCATTTTTTCCAGAAATTTTAAACAAATAAAATAAAAAATATTGATTAATAAAATTGAAAACCTTTAAATAAAGAAAAAGCTGCATTTTACTATGTAAATCTTTTTATCACAAAGAGTAATAAATATTTATTATTGTCAATTATATAAAGAAAATAATTAACAAAAAGCAACATCCTTCTTTGTCTTACTTTGTTGAAAGTATTTCATTTCTTTGATTCCATGCGATATATTAAAATCGAACCTGTTTTGCACCACCAAAAGAAATCAAAGAAAACATGCACGTTTACCTTTATTTAGAACATACAAATTGAACACTCGTAGAGCATAAATATCCAAAATAAACGTAATAATCAATCAAGACATTGGTCACAAAGACATGACCGAGGTACATATCACTTGATAATATGATGTGTTTCAACCAATTGTGGCGTCTTATTTAAAATTTGTCGATCACCTATTATTTCGGTGTGATTGAGAAGGGCTTGTACATAATGGAAGATCATCGCAAAAGTTGATTTCTGCTATCAGCCACGAAATTTGACAGTTTATATGATTGAATCAAAATTCATGTTGTCATTAGCTTTTCCTTTAATGGTTCACGTATTTTTTTGAGGAACTGCTTTTATTTTATCCATCTCACGTTAGTTAAGACCGAAAAATTAAAATTTCGGAATAATTATCTATTTTTATCTTTAAAAGCGATTTGCTTTCCCCTTGACGATCTCCCTTGACGATCTCCCTTCACGATCAAAAAAAGTTCTATTAATGAAATCTATAAAGTTGAAGTCGAATGAAACTATAAAAACGAGCTTTTGGAATTTCTACCTCTTTGTTGTCTGTGTCAACGACCCTTGTAATCATCATTTATTTATATTTTTTCATATATATATATATATATCAATATCTATTACTACTTATGAATATTTATTAATATTTTTTCATAATGACTAGTCATAATCGCATCGAGTCCTTTAATTATATCAATGAGCAACAACAAACAACAATGCCTAAAATTTGTCTTCCTTTTCCACCAAACATCACCCCCAACGAATGTATTTTTCTCCGAGACGGCAAGATCCCATCAAAGTCGCCAAATTGTTTCATAATTTATCGTCGTGCATTTCAAAAGGCGATTCGTGAAAATGATTATTATTTCAAGCTTAATTTCGTTTCCAAATTGGCTTCTGCGTCTTGGAAACAAGAACCGGATGAAGTTAAGGCCGCGTACAAGGAATTGGCAAAACAAGCTAATTATTTACTTGTCAAATTGCGCGCTAATGCTTTAAAAGAGGATAATACATTCGAATTTCGCGCTAATGCTCTAAAAGAGGATAATACATTCGAAGAGGAAGAAGAAGAAAAAGAGGAATTAAATATTTCTTCTAATGAACAACAAATCAAATATTTGTTCATTGACGAACAATCTCATAATAATGAAGGATTCGATATGGGACTTCTTGATGATGCGGACAATCAAAAACAGCAATTATTACTCAATGTCAACCCAAATAACGATGAATATCATTCAACCCTCGGGCAAACATCCACCACTACTTCTTATGTGACTAATGAATATGAACTTCTTACTGCGAAATTAAGTGACAATCAGAATATGCAATTCAAATTAAATAACAACATTTCTATGCCAAGTGTACGTTACCAAGTTTTTGATAATTTTTCTCTATCTCCGTTGGTTGAATTATTGGAATATGATGAAATATTAGAAAATTCGACGTCGAATGATTATTTTTCTAATCAACTTGTTCCAATCAATCAACAAACTCAACCACAGGATTTTAATGATTTACAATTAGTCAATTATAAGAATTATGTATGTAATATTCTCGAAACTAACTTCGATACTTTCAATTATTTTAATTTTTACCCTGATGATGAAAATCACCAAGAGGATGATGATAATAATGTCAATCAATCGCAAATTATCCCCTCTATTTTTGGTGATTTTAACTACACAGACTAATCTGTATTTTAATTTAATTTCTTGGTCTAAGTTGAACTTTTTAATGTGTATTTTACTTAATAAAGATTCTTTTGATTATCTCCTTAACCATATCGCGACAACTGAGTATTCATCTATTATCGAATCGAACAAACAAAGGTAATTGAACATACTTGAGAGAACCAATTAAATCGTTGAATAAATTTATATCATATCAAAAGAGATCTGTGAAGATAAATTTGTGACAACATCATGAAATTGAGGTAGCAATAAATGAAATTTAATTGGATAAATTCCAGAAATTATTAATTTGATTTAAATACATGTACCCACCCACTGACAACGAAAATCTTATTAATCAAATGCATGTAGTCAATAAATTTTTTTTGGGAAACCTATAACGATAACAATAACTCGATATATCCAAACGTGTTAATCCCGCGTGGCTGAGCCTCTGAGCCACAAAATTTGAAATCTATAAATAAATTATTGCAGAATTTGAGTAATTTGAAATTGGCTTCTACAGGTAATTTGTATTTTGCCTAAATAAATTGATGTGCGTAAATGTTCAGTTTGATGCATGCGTGATAATGAGATTTATGGTAGCTTTAGAGAGCTTTTTAAGAAGTTGCAGAAAGAGGCACTTGCACATTTTAATTGATAGCTTTGACAGTTTTAATTTAGTAAAATTAGGGTTTTTTAAATTTCCCTTTTAGAATATAAGTGATTGACAAAATGTGTAATAATTAATGCATATATCTACGCGTGATTATTTGTTACCTTTTTAATTAAAAGACTGATGTGGTACTTGAATATGTGTATTCTTTTAATATTATGCGTCGAAAAAATAGTAACGACAAATAGCGTGTTCGAGAGCAATAATCACGTTAAAAAAATCGGACATTTTAGTAGGCTTTTTGTTTAATCTTAAGATTTGTAATGTGATTTGCTTTGGTTATTGAAGTAATTGAATACCGTAGGTTCAAATGCATTTTTATTTTGCTGAATGCTAAATTGGATATCGTATTAGAAATGTGACATTCGTTTCGGCCAGAATTATTTAAATATTTACTTTAAGCTAAAAAAGATTATCGGATTTATCCATTGACGAAATGTGTATATACACACTGTTTTCTCTATTTTTAGATCATACAGATCAGTCATACAACTCTGTACATTTATGGAAAAGAATGATTCGATATTTTTAGATTCATTGTTATAACGATAAGTATTGATTTCCATGCAGAAAATGATTTAGTAATGGGGTCATTTGACGCAAACACAATATACGTTTTATTTGTTCATGTCATATCATATCATATGGATTGTATCCCATTTTAGAAAAAAAAATAATTTCTTTAAAGTTTATGCTTGATGGCTGTGCATACCTAAAATGAAAAAGTTCCTTGGTGTGACTTTGAAAAAATTATTTATAATGGATGGACTTACTTTTTACGTTGTCATCAGCGAATTTTAAAAGATTGTCGTAGCTAACTTGCGTTCACTCGATTTTTGGTTATTAAACAAAAAAAAATGTCAAAATTCAACAGTTACAATAATTTCATCATCATAGACGCCACCAACAACAAATTATCCCCTACTTCTCTGTACGAGAAGCAATTTGATCAAGAAACATTTCTTCGCGAAATCAAAGTCCCATTCCCTCCAACTCTTACTCCAAAAGAAATTATTGTGGTCAAAGATGGAAAAATTCCATCAAAACCGCCAAACAGCTTTATAATTTATCGCCGTGCATTCCAGAAACAATGTCGCGAATCTGGTTATTTGCTAAAATTAAACATTGTTTCTGCAATGGCAGCTGAATCATGGAAAGACGAACCATTGGAAGTAAAAAATGCTTATAAAGATTTGGCTTTACAAGTGAATTTTGTGTTAGTTGAAATGCGCGCTAGAGAATTGCAAACTAAAAGTCACGTGCGAGAATTAAAAGATTTATTGAAACAAAATATCGATGATGATTCATTTGACGAGATTTCCGATTTGAAAACTCAAATTTTCTCAGATAATGAGAAAGATTCTTCATGTAATGAAGAAATCAATTCCGATGTGTCATTAGAATCGATCACAAACGATGTGTACGATAATCAAGAAAACATGTACAATGCTCAAGAAAATTCGCCAATCAATTACATGTATAACTCAAATTATGATCCTAATCCTAATCAAACTGATAACGTCGTCGTCGAAATGAACTTTGATAATATTAATAACATTAATAACTATAATGATCACTTTGAAAGTGTTCCATTATCGTTAAGCCCCGAGTTCTATCTTAATGAAGAAGGAATGTTATTTGATGACTATATCGTGTTTAATTATTTCTCATATCAAGGAAATATAGACCAACTTAACGAAACATTCATCTCACATACCGATGATGTGGAAGCAATACAATCTCAAAGACATTATGTTCCATCAATATTTTAAGCTTATATAAGAGTTTTTATAACCAATTGTAAATAGATTATTGCAGTCAAACCTCGATATAACGAAGTTGATCGGGATAGTAGTCCAAATTTTGATTTATTTGGTAAATTCGGCTTATCGAGGTGGATTTTCTATAACCTTTTCTGGAACCAACTTCGTCTTTATTAATGCTTCGTCATATCGAGGTTTGACTGGACTATTATTATATAAAATAGAATTGTTAGATGATAAAATTTATAAAATTATAGATATATAGATTAGATTATAAATATTTGGATTACATATAAAAATAAATAAAAAAAATATTTTTCGCAAAACACGTTTCATTTCGTAACCGAGAATTTATAATTTTTGACATTGATAGATAAACTTTTCTGTGTATCTTTTCGAACACTTTTGAAGTGATGATTGGCATAAAGATAACTACGTACTCGTTCGAGAAGTAAAAAGTCTACTAAAAAATATGTAACAGTAACACACATATTTATGGTACATATCAATATACGTACACTCAGTGGACAAAAGTCTGGAATCGGGCAATGATCGACATACATTTGGTGTGACTTTAATCGTCTACCGCGC